AGGCCCGGGGCCATCTGGGGCACGGATATTGCTGGGGTGTCGAAGGGGTTTTGCTCGGGAGGCTTCAGGCAGGCAGCTGAAGCGCTCTGTGAGACTGGTTTGTGGCCTGTTTGGAGAGGTCACCAGTCAAGGGGGCTGTAAGAAGCCCCGGATTTGAGCATTTCGCCCTGAGCAGATGCCCTCAGCTGTGCCCAGACACGGCCCTGTCCGTCACAGTGGCGTAGTCGGCAGGATCCACAGATCTTGGTCAATTGAGCTTTGGGATCAGGACCCCACGCTGTCTAAATTTGATTTTTGGTGTTGAGAGTTTGGTTGATTAAAGAGCCGCTGCGATGATCCCGGAATTATATGAGAGTCTGAGCAAAAGTGCTCTGAAGGATTTGTGCTTGGGGAGAGGCATTGCCTTTAGGAAAAGGGCCTCTAAACTAGATCTGGTAGTGTTGTTACTAACCAGAGATGTGGATGAAAGGGATCAGAAGCGAGCCAAGGAAGCTGCTGAAAGAAGGCAGAAGGCAGATGAAGAAATTGCTAAGAGACAGAAGGAGATGGATCGGGAACTTGAGGAGAAAAAGGCAGAATATGCTGAGAGACAGCGGAGGGAAGAGGTAGAGCATGCAAAGAAGATGGCCCTAGCCAAGGAGGAAAATGCTAGACTTGACCTCCAGCTTAAGAGACTAAAAGAACAAGAGAGACTGTATTCTCCTGAAGGTTCAATGTATAACCCTGTGGGTATGCGATATGCTTATGATATGGCAGACGTATTTTGCCCAGCTGATGGGAGAACCCAAACCCCAAAGCATGTATGAATGCATCATTTTCTTGTGTTTGTTAGTGATGAAAATTTACCATATTTTAATAACATTTACAAGAACTTATAGAGCAGTGTCACAGGGTCCCCTCCCAGGGTGTATCTAGAGTCTAGACTACAGGGTTGTTTTTTTTAAAAAAAGTGGCCTTTTTTCGAAAAAACTTCCCCTGCATCTAGACTGCTGCTGCATTGTTTCAAAAGTAAATCGAAAGAACGCGGCAGTTTTTTCGACCGCGGAAAACCTCGGAGTGGCTGGCCAGAGTGAAGTTTTAGTTGAGGAGTTGGTGGCTGGTGAGGTTTGTGGAATTGAACCTGCACAAGCTGAAATTGAGTTGTGTGAAGCGCTCTGTGGGACTGGTTTGTGGCCTGTTTGGAGAGGTCACCAATCTGGGGACTGTAAGGAGCCCCGAAGTTGAGCAATTCACCCTGAGCGGACGCCCTCAGCTGTGCCCAGACATGGCCCGGTCCGTCACAGCTGGACATTAGTTAACCCCCTAGTCTCTGGATGCTAGTCAGCACTCCTGATTATGACACAGCACAACACATATTTGCCAACTAGTGGTGGTTGTTGCCAAGGGCCTAATATCCAGGATCTGAGTAGCTTTCCAGGTCTCAAGCACATGCACACACCCCTCCCCCACACGCACACACACACTTCATTGGTCTCTGTAGCTATTGAGTCGGCATGTGTGTTATAACGCAAAATTCACTTCCACTTTGCATGATATTGTGTATTTAAATGTTATGCCATGTGTACAGTCACTGAAACTTCCATAAGGCCCTGCTTGAAAACAAAAACCAGCAAAATTCTTGCTGCTTTGGATGATATTTATGACTGTCCACTTGCGGTATACACAACTGTGGGATGCTGTGTTTAGAAAGTTAGTCGAGGAGCCCAAGAGTTGCTGTTGTTTGTAGAAGGGGTGTTTTTCTGTTTTTCATTGCTAATGGCTTTCTCTTTACCTCTGTATTGGAGTAACCAATTCAGTTATAAGATCAAGAACACATATTCCTGCTCATCCAGAAATATAATTTATGTAATCATGTGCCGACAGTGTCCGTTTGCTATGTACATTGGACAAATGTCTCAGACGCTTCGCCAAAGAATCAATGCACACAAAACGGATATCAACAGTATCATAAAGAAAAAACAGTTTCTTGCCATTTCAACCAGAAAGGGCATTGTCTCAACGACTTGATTATCTGCATACTGCTTCAAAGGCATTTTAACACCAGACTTGAAAGAGAGCCCTCTGAACTGTCATTCATGCTTAAATTTAACACTTTACGCTTAGGCCTTAACAAAGACACTAATTATCTTACCCATTACAAAGATAGCTTCCCCAATTATCACCTCTAATATCATTAGCTCACAGACATTTACCTTCCCCCCCATCCCGCCTCTGTTCTGAAATTTGATTTGTCCTTTTCATATGTGTTCACTTTTTTTGATTGTATCCCTTTGGTATATATGGTCATGCCTATTTTCTTCCACTGTTTGATCTGAGGAAGTGGGTCTGGCCCACGAAAGTTCATCATCTACTAACCCGTCTTGTTAGTCTTTAAAGTGCTACATAGTCCTGTTTTTTGTTTCAGCTAGACTAGACTAACACGGCTACATCTCTATTACTACCTATGACGGCGATATTTTAAATGGGAGTATCTTTGGAACTAGTAATATTGCTAAAATCAGAATTATTTTTTCCATCCATTCATCACTGTGACAGGGCGCCTGCCCTGCACTGGTCCTTTAAGACCAAGACTCAGGCCCTGAGCCGGGGCTGGGAACAGAGGTCAGCTGAGGCCGTTAGGGCTAGTGAGAGCCCAGCTGGCAGCTATATAGAGAAACACAGTTGGCTTGAAGAGGCCAGCTGAAGCCGTTAGGGCAGGTGAGGGCCCAGCTGGCAGCTATATAGAGAAGCACAGTTTGCTTAGAGTGAGGAGCCAGTGAAGGGCTGACTGCAGAGGAAGCAGGGGCTCGCAGGACGGAGAACAGCTGGGGGTAGCCAGCTAGGGCTGGGAGAGAGCCAGCCAAGACTCCCCCTGGCTAGGGGCCGGAGACAAGGCCCAGGGTTCGGAGGCGGATTACAAGGCAGCCGAGGTAAGCGGGGCAGTAGAGATAACCCCGTGCCAATGATGAGCAACCCGTGCAGACTGTAACTTGCCCTGAGAGGGGCTAGCTGAGGACAATTGGGGCACTGAGGCATGGTGGGGTGCGCGCACCCGGACAATCACATGTACAGTATGTATTTAGTGCAGGGATGGGAACGGTTAAGCAGTTAACCGTAAGCATCACTTTTAAGAGGGAATACTTTTAGTTCCAGTTAAGCAATGGGGGCTGCAACAGCTGCCACCCTGCCCTGCTTGCTGTAGACAGGGGTGCTCCAGCTCCCTCTGCCTGCCCCCTGTTTCATCAGTCATGTTTAACCAGCTAACCATGTTACATCCCTCATTCAATGACATAAATACATTCTCTCTCTCAGCCTCTTTTCTCCCCGTTTCTCTTCTACCCATAAAAGGAACTTTTTCGAGGTGGCCACGCTCACACTTTCACTTCTGGGTTGAAACTGTAATTTCAGAAAACCTTAGAGCTTCAGAAAATATGCCTGGGGCAAGTGAATCCCCGTGGGCCTTACACAGATGACCAGGCTTTAACAGAAACTGTCACAAACCCAGTGGCTACATCTATACTGCGCTCTCTTGTGCAAGAACATATGCAAATGAGGCGAAGCTGTGAATATTGCTGTACCTCATTTGCCTACTTAATAAGCCACCATTGTGCAGAAGGGGTTTTTGCGCAAAAAGGAGCCATCTACGCAACTCCATTTTGCACAAAACCCCCCTCTTGAGCAAGAGCCGTTCTTCCTGAAAAAAAGTGGCAGAACGGCTCTTGCACAAGAGGGGGTTTTTGCGCAAAAAGGAGCCGTGTAGATGGCTCCTTTTTGCGCAAAGGCCCCTTGCGCAAAAATGGCGGCTCATGAAGTATGCAAATGAGGCGCAGCGATATTCACCACTTCGCCTCATTTGCATATTTCCTTGCACAAGAGAGGGCAGTGTAGACATAGCCTCTATGTCTCTCAACTCCTGGTTTAACTCTCCCACACAAAGAAAGCAGGCAGAGAACCTATATCCAATTCAAATTGCAACCCTCTATCAGAGTATTTGGGGACATCTGTGACGGGAATTGGTTACTTCAGTCCATATCTTAGGAGTCAGCCTAGAAGTGACCAGGCCTATCTTGTATTGTTATCCTGAGCCGTTCAGTGTCCACAGCTGTCGGTGAGATCCTTGCAGCTGTGCTCAATAATTTTTTTTAACTTAAAATTAACCATAATGTTATGAAAGAAACTCACAAACACACATACACCTGGTGGCCTGGGCTGAGCATATGGACTATGAACAGTAGCTTCTATGGTAACACAAAGTCTTTGTCAAAGAAGTTAGGGCTGGAAAAGAAGGGCTAACCCAGCTAGACCATTCCCTCAGCCCCGTTGGCCAAAGCGAGATTATTCTCCTTAGTCTGCTGCGCAGATGAGGCTTCTGCCACTTCCCTCTGTGGGCTATCGTGCAGTCTGCAAGACCTATCTGAGCATTTGGCTTTGTGTTTAATCTGGTACCAATTGATAAGAGGAACTCATTTCCCAGACACAGGTCTCTTGATCGCATCAAGCAGAAGCAGTTTTATTAGAGACACCTTTTCTGTAAAGGGTAAATTACCAGCCACGGTACAGATTATCTCCAGTAAGGAATTATTGTGATTGGACAGCATGAGAGAATGAAGAAGCAAATAGCATGGTAGGCAGGAAGCTGGACCAAAGGCCAGATGGGCCCCTTAGGACAGCAATGTTGGCGTTAGCAGCGTTGAGTAATTCTGAAGAGCGCTTCTCCAAGCTCTGCCTAGATCCACAATGAATGCCTTGGGTCAGCTCTCGCTTTGTCCGTGCCTGGGTCTTGCACTGGAAGATGCTGGTTTCTCTGCTTAGTCACAGATCTTTCTGCCATGCCCTGGGGAGAAATAAATAGAGCTATTACTTTGCTTAGAGAGGGCTGGGCAACCTGTGTCCACAAGCCTCCTAATTGTCCCTGTCTCCCACACGCCTCTTGCTCACTGGGGCCCTACACTTCCTATGCCTCCTCCTCCTACAAATCTGATTTGCGCCCGGTCCCTGCTCCTTCCCGTCCCTCCCGAAGCTTGAGCAGCTGCGAATCAGCTGTTCCGTGAACTCAAGCTCTAGGAGGGAGGGGAAGGAGCGTGGACAGAGAACCAGTCAGCAGATTCGTGGCCATCTGAAAGTGCTGACGTGCGGGGCCCCCATGCGAGATGCGTGATGGGGAAAGAGGTAGGGAGAGATGGATGGGCCACAGGTGGAACCCCAGGGGTCATGGGCTGTAGGCAGCCCTCCACTGACAATCATGCAGCCCACTGAGACAAGGGAGAGCCCGTCATGTGGCCCAGTCACTCCTGTGGGTTGCCCGTCGCTGACGTACACGCTCAGAGCGGAGCGGCAGAGACACTCTTCTGATGCACTCCAGAGCTTCCCCCAAATCGTTTCCTGTTTAGACTACAAGAGAAGAACACGGACACTGCAGGATAGGCCAGCCGCTGTGCTGGGAAAGCAAAGGGCAGCTCCTTTGGCCCTCCTCCTATCCTTGTGCATTCGCCTACACACCCGGCTCACTCTGCCCCAAATGGGGGTTGGTTTTTTTAGAATGCAAATGTAAATTGTTGCACAACCCTCGGCAGGATGCACTTGCCTGAGATATTGTTTGTGGGCTAGGACCCATTTTTCCCATCCACCATCAACACATCGTTGATTCCATCGCTCTCTGTTTTAAGGACCTGTTCCCTCCTCCTTTGCCCTACAACACATCCAGCCTCCATTTCCAGCCTCTTTCTCCAAGTCCTTTAGACTCCGTCTCTGTCTCTGCTTTCATTTCACCTCTTTTTTTCCTCCTCTTTCCCCTCCCTCTCTTTTATCTCTCTTCTAACTGACTTTCACCCTTCATAATTCACAGTGAGAGAGGCCCAGATCCATTTGACACTTCTCTTGATGATGTTACCTGTAGCATGCCTTAGCCCTGGCACTATGTCCTACCACACTCTCCAGGTGCCTAACAACACAGTCCCGAAAGGTGAGCTGTAGCACTTCAAAGCCACCTCACAGTGAGAGTTTAACAGCAGCTTCCCTCTCGTCCTGTTGCTGAGAACAGGACTAAAGAAACATTCCCCCTGATACCCGAATTCAGTGCTCACCCTTCTCAGCAGGGTGGAAAGACGGGACATGGGAGAGGCCGTGGGAAGAGGTAGAGTAGCTGTGGGATGATGTAAGGACAACGCTTCCTCCTCCTGTGCATTTACCAGCTCCACTTCCGCCACCGCTCCCTCCTTCCTGAATACTGTGACAAGGAAAGAATGTCTGGTGAATGGAACAGCAGCCAACCCTGCGACTACTTGTCCTCACCCACTACCAGTCCCGCAAGGAGCCAGGACCCGGCCCGTACACTGACAGCGCCCTTGCTCTCGTCTTCCATACAGCACAGCAACAGCACATCACTACAAGGCCAGCCGGTCTTCCCACTGACTTTGCCCCCCCAAAGGATGAATTAGCTGTAGTCTTCCATTGCCAGAGAGTTTTTACACAGATTCTGCTCTGCACCTGGCTTCCAAACCAGGAAATCTTTGCCTCATTAATGAGCCGGCTCATTTCAAAAGCAAATGGAGTTGGGGACATGCCAGGCGCTTTGGGTAAAAGCAGGAGTGACTGAACTTTTGGCAAAAGCTCAGGCTACATCTTTATGCAGGGATGAGCGCGTAGGTGTTTGCTTTATTCCCCACTGGTCTGTAGCCTACATACACAATATCATGCTGTCCTCCTTCCAGCAGGCAGCGGTAAGTGTGAATCTCCTGCTCCAGACGGCATTTGACGTCCAGAAGGACCTTGTACTCGTGATTCTGGGACTCAATTTCTGCGCGCAAGTCAGACAGCTGCTGCTCCACACAGGTGATCTGTTGTTGTAACTGGCACAGGTGGGCGTTGTAGCGACTTTCGGTTTCAGCTAAAGAGGCTTCCAGGTTGTCCCGCTAAGAATTGAAGGAATAAAGCCACATGTACTTTAACCAGGCACCAAATTAAACCCATTTGGATGCAGAAAGCTGGATATTTCCAATGCAGAAATTAAAGCAAATTGTTGCTAACAGTCAGTGACATCATCACTGCTACGTAGAGGTCAGGCCTGCCTGGTCCCCCATCAGTCCAGAAATCCATGTATCAGTGTGTCATAGGTGAGCTTTCAGTGATGACAACATCCCTACCTGGCTAAGATGGGCTTGCAGATCAATCTCCAGGCACTGCAATTGACGTCGAAGTTCGGAGACCTGATTGTTGCACGACTCCACCTCCTGACCGCTTGTGATGACCTCATGATTCACCTCATCGATCTGAGAAACAGACACACAGAATAAAGAGCATCGGGGGATTTTTAATTGTCCGGTGAGTCTAGTGAATGCACAAAGCAGTGGCTAACAATACATGTAAGACAGACGGGATGGGCAAGTTTTCTGCACACGGGAATGAATCCCATCTCTTGATTGGAACTCCCCTTGTGATTCTAATGCTACGGCTCCTCACAGCCTCACCTGTGATTCTCCTTTGTCCTAAACTAGAGGTTCGCCCACTGTTCCGCCAACACACCTCAATAATGACATGTAGCAAGCCCTGTTATTCCAGGAGAAACATACACTGTGTGTACGCTGGGCCTCCTTCCCCTATGCAGAGGGCACTACACATCCAGGCAGATCATATTTAGAACATATGAAACAGGAATAAAATCTCCCCACAGTGTGCATATGTGATTCTGGAATAGCTCCTGCATTTTCACCTGAGAGAGTTATAGTCATGAAGGACTTACCTTGCATTTATACCAATCCTCAACCTCTTTGCGATTTTGAGCAATCACTTTTTCATACTGGCACCTCATCTCGTCTAGGATTTTCTTCAGATCTGGTCCAGGACAGGAGTTGACTTCCACATTGACGTCGCCAGTGGACTGGTTTCTCAGACATTTGATTTCCTGCAAAGATAACCCAAATCAGCTTAAAAGACAAGATATGTGCTGAGTTCTCTGGTGCATGAGAGCAGCATTCCGCTGTCAGGGGAGCCTTTAATCCCGAGGCCCATTTCGGACACTAACAGCCCCAGACTCTGTTGCCACTTCTCCAGGACACACCCAGCTCTGCTGGGGAAACCGCTGATGATTCCCAAGCTAAATTCTATAGTCCTCTCCTGAGGTATAAAAACCAGCCTGTGTTTTCTGGGACATGGGATGGTTAATCTCAGCAAATTAATGAAATCCTCATTATTTCTGCATAGAAAAAGGACTGTTTTTTACTTTATTTTCTCCTGGGACTTTTGTGTCACTGGATCATACATAAGGGCCGTTTTCCTGTGATAGTTTATGTTTTCACAACAGATACAATTTGTGTGTGTGGCTCCTGTGTCAATCAACTCCAGTCAAACAGTTTCAGTGCCATTTTGGGAGCATACGTGCCTTGACAGCATTAAGTCTGATGACTGAAATGCACTCATTTTCCCGAATAGGTTGGTACTAGTGTTACAGGTTCGCTTTGTTCTAAATAAATTTATGACAAAGCAATCTGTTTTTCATTGAGACATGTCACCATATGTTGGCTCTTTTAATATTTTTTCCCCTTTTATATTTACATTTTCAAAGAAGGGAGCGTGGTCCAGTGGTTAGAGCTCCTGACCTGCCATTTCATGTATCTGCTACTGCATTTCTAAATGATTTTGGACAAGATAACCATTTCTTGTATATTCTGGCTTCACAAAAACTAGAATCATGGGGATGTTGTTAACACGGATTAATTGCTTATGCAATGTTTTAAGTTCTGTGGATGAAATATGCCAGTGAAGAGACAAGTGATATCCTCAGCCCTTGGCAAAGCTGCTGCATGGTTTATCCGACTTGTAACTAGTGACAGTGGTAGCGCTCTCTCCTTCCCCTTTTACAGAGCCCAGGAGCTGCCAGAAGCTTCACATTCCTTCCCATGGTTCCTACATTGCTCCCAAACCATAAGGGAGGGACCTGGCCTGCCTGTGACAAATACTCCGGCACAGGACCCACCATCCTTGTATGTTACATTCGAATGCATATGATTAGGTAACGGGTTTGGGGAAAGGAGTAATATGGCCGTAATGCAGATCACCATTCATAGTCTATTGGCTGTAATGGCAGTATTCCATTCATATTCTATTGGCTGTAATGGCAGTATTCCATTCATATTCTATTGGCTGTAATGGCAGTATTCCATTCATATTCTATTGGCTGTAATGGCAGTATTCCATTCATATTCTATTGGCTGTAATGGCAGTATTCCATTCATATTCTATTGGCTGTAATGGCAGTATTCCATTCATATTCTATTGGCTGTAATGGCAGTATTCCATTCATATTCTATTGGCTGTAATGGCAGTATTCCATTCATATTCTATTGGCTGTAATGGCAGTATTCCATTCATATTCTATTGGCTGTAATGGCAGTATTCCATTCATATTCTATTGGCTGTAATGGCAGTATTCCATTCATATTCTATTGGCTGTAATGGCAGTATTCCATTCATATTCTATTGGCTGTAATGGCAGTATTCCATTCATATTCTATTGGCTGTAATGGCAGTATTCCATTCATATTCTATTGGCTGTAATGGCAGTATTCCATTCATATTCTATTGGCTGTAATGGCAGTATTCCATTCATAGTCTATTGGCTGTAATGGCAGTAGTGTTGGGGGTTAGTATCAAATTCAGAGCCCTGCTGTAAGTGACATGCAACATACATTGTGTTAGCTCAGGAAACCTACCTCCTCATGGTTCTTCTTCAGACAGCACAGCTCTTCCTTCAGGCTCTCGAGCTGCCCCTCCAGGTCAGACCTGCACAGGGTCAGCTCATCCAGAACACGGCGTAAGCCGTTAGTATCAGCCTCCACAGTCTGGCGAAGGGCCAGCTCAGTCTCATACCTACACCATGGACAAGAAGCACAGAAAAGTCAGCCCCCGAGCCCACCGCTCAGGCATCCTGGCAGGCTCCCTCAGGTTATATGGGGTTTGCGTGTCCCTTCTGCCAATGTTACGTCTCTGTCTGGGCTAAAATAGAACACCGCCTGTCTGCTGCCCAGTCTCTCTGGATGTTCAAAGGCAGCGTCCAGGATCTGATGGTTCATAAAAGACCTTCTTCTTCAGCTTTTTTTGTCCCTCTCCTCTCTACTGTCTCTGCTACAAGAGGTCACACACTCCTTTTTCTGCACTTCCACTGGGGAATAATCTCAATTCTTTTTTCAAAATCTGTGGGTCATGCTCTCCATGGATATAAATCTGCCTAGCTCCATTGCCTTCAGTGGACGCATGCCAGCTTACAGCACTTGTCCCTATATGTTAGCCCCCTAAACACATCAACCAGTTACTCTTTGTTGCTTCAAGCTCCCCGTTCTGGAAATGCCTCACTTCTAGGCACTTCTAATGTCGAAGATGGAAGACACATGTCAAATCTGAGACCACAGCCTGACCAATATTGTGTCATTGTTCCTTTGGTCTCCCCCATTGGTCTGTATCTATTTCATGTCTTTCATGTAGAGAGTGGTACTCACTTCAGTCTGAAGTCATCACCTGCCATCCTGCTGTTATCAATGTCCAGAATGATCTTGCCATTCTCAAGGGTTGCACAAAGAATCTGGAAAAGAAGAGGGTCCAGGAGACTCTTAGCCCTTAAGTCTCTTCACTCACTTACACTCAGTGTCTCCCAGTATTCAATTTCCGATAGAGAGGAAGCACGGAAGATTTCAGATCCCAGGAGAAATGTCTGAGAAATACCAGAGTGTGTGCAATGAAATAAATGAAAGGAATCGGGATATACAAATACAGGTAAAATACCAGCAGTTTTGAAATCTACAAACTTCACATTTTCAAAGTTGCTCTAGAATTCGTAACTATGAGATTTACACTGCAGCTCAGCATTTGGCACGTTTCTCTCTCCTGTGACTCTGTCTGCTTTGTTCCTCCTAGCTGGCTAATCCTTCTTCAGAATACACATGGCAAAGGTTTTTTACAAACATTAAATTGCCCATTAAAACCTAGTGGTGACAAGTATTTATTTCTTATTGTGCTTTGGGGGAATATTCCCCTTCCATGCCCCGACTTCGTATAGCAGCTCAAACTTGCTTGAAATAGAAATGAGATTGCAATTAGCATCCAAGAAAACTGAAGACAGGATAAAATATAATAATGAGAATAACTCAGTAGACTAATGAATGCATTTTTCTTTTCGTCTTCCTTTTGGGTATAAATACATTGAAACATCCTGTTCCATATTTCATTTATGAGGAGTAATGACCAGACCCATAGTGTTCCTTGCCTATGTAACCTGTTTCTCTTTGTACAAATCTGGCCCAGAAAAGGCTGATTGTAAATGGACTCAGGCGTTTTGACACCCTCACTTATATTTCATACATGCAGTTGCCTTAAATGTATGTCTGCAAAAAACATTTTACAAAAGTGAAATAATGCCCCACACAACTGCAGTAGACTCTGAATATTGATTCAAAGTGAAGATCTTACAATGGGGAATTCAGCTGAAAAAATGTTACCTGCTTTTGAAGATCTTCTATTTGCTTGTAGTAGCAGCTGTAGTCCTTTGGTAAATCTGAGTGCCCATGGTGGGCATACCACTCCTTGATTTTGCACTCGAGGGCAGCGTTTTCTTCCTCCAAGCATCGCACCTTGTCCAGGTACGAAGCCAGGCGGTCATTGAGGTTCTGCATGGTCAGCTTTTCATCACAGGTAACAAATGCACCATCTCCACAAACACCACCGCCAAAAAAGCCACCACCGACTGCAGCACCAGCGCCACCACCAAAACCACATCCAAAGCCACCACCAACTGCAACACCAGAGCCACCACCGAAACTACCTCCATAGCCACAATGGGAAGCACCACCGCTCAACCCAATGCCAGGACAACATCCATAGCTGTATCCTGGGAGACCTCCAGCGAAGACACCTCCACAGCTACCTCCAGAAAAACTACCAGCACCACCACTAAAACTCCTGCACGAAAAGCCTCCACCACTGCCTAGCCCACAGGAGCCATATCTCCCAGAAGACACGGAAGAGATCTTTCCTGCACCACCACCTCCAACCACGCAGCTACCACCACTACTCTTTCCTTTGGTAGCGAGAGTAACAGTCTGCTTGGTGCTGTAGCTCATAGTGACAGCAGTTAAGAATCCAACCCAAAGCCCAAAGCAAGAGGCACAGCTTGATACGAATTCAGACTGCACGTTTTCTGTCCTCACTGATCACTATTTATACCTTCCCCAGTGGGAGTCACCAATAGGGTGTTTCTTCTTCCCATGGGGATGGCTAGTCTTGCTGTTTATGCCAAGGATAATTCCCCAAAGGCAGTTTCCCTCCAGAAATCCCAGTACACAAGAAATGTTAGTTGTATGTCAGCAGTTTTTTCAAAAATACATTGGCAATGATGTTTTATGAATCATCAGCATTTCCTTATGATGAAAATTTCAGAACAAGAAGCCAGGAAAAACAGCACTCTAAATTATATGCAGGGAATAAAACATAGAATATATAACAACAGCAAGCTCTTTATCTGTTATTATTTTATTTTAATTTTTGTTTTGCCTTTAATCAACATGTTTTCATATGTAATTTGGGATCATAGACATAAAAATGAAGGAATGAATAAACATTTGGTAAAGTGAAACTTGCTGTACAAGGATCTGAGACATCATGATATAAATATTCAGCCCCAAAATGATTAGGGGGCTGGAGCATATGACCTGTGAGGAGAGGCTGAGGGAGTTGGGTCTGTTTAGTCTGCAGAAGCGAAGAGTGAGGGGGGATTTGAGAGCAGCCTTCAACTTCCTGAAGAGAGGTTCCAAAAAGGCTGGAGAAAGGCTGTTTTCAGTAGTGACACATGGCAGAACAAGGAGCAATGGGCTCAAGTTGTGGTGGGAGAGGTCCAGGTTGGATATTAGGAAACACTATTTCACTAGGAAGGTAGTGAAGCACTGGAATGGGTTACCTAGGGAAGTAGTGGAGTCTCCATCCCTACAGGTGTTTAAGTCTCAGCTTGACAAGGCCCTGGCCGGGTTGATTTAGTTGGGATTGGTCCTGCCTGGAGCAGGGGGCTGGACTTGATGACCCTCTAAGGTCTCTTCCAATTCTATGGTTCTATGAAAATGTGTAAAAATATGTTAAATACTTATTAATGTTACTCTCCCCGTGTGTGCAATTGCTGGATGTGTTGTGTCTGTGACTGGAAAGGGAGAACGTTCCTTGCAGCAGTGAATGGATCTGGGGTTGTTTATGGACAGTTTCTCTGTTCATGTGTGTTGTTGTGAATGAAAAACGCTGAGAACTCCTGAAATAGGGAATGTAATGTAAACCCGGTCTGGACAGTCAAGCGACAACTGCCTCCATGAGGGTGAGGTAGATGTGACCGAATAGGTCTTTTCCATTGCCAATGTCTCATCATATTAAAGTGAGCAGGGTAATTAAAGTGGGAAGAGCTGTCCTCATTTCTCAACTGCATAGTAATTGGTGTCAATACATTCTAATTTGCTCTGACAGCCTGGACACCCGTACTGCTGTCACGCAGAGATGAGAACGAGAGGAGTATTCAGAGCTAGCATACTACTCAAAAGGCCAGTAGCATTCACCCAAGAGGACATCTTAATGATGGGATGCTTTTCTTTTCAAGTGCACAAAGGCACACGTTCCCTAATAGATGGAAATTTACTACCAACTATTGGTAGTAATTGGACTTTGTCTCACATCCACCTAATTAGCCCTTTAAGGTAGATGTTATGACCAACACTCATTTATATAGAGCATGGTCCTTAAAGGGAAGAAAGAGAAGCTGTCAGCTGCATCTCAAGAGCAGAACGGCTTCTTTGCATCCAACCAGAACCAGGCAACTATGAATAGTCAAACTTGCCAGCGTGAGATATTATGCTGGATTTCTAGAAGCCCTAACACGTGAGTTTGGAGAGATCAGGAGCACACTGGACAAGGAGAGGTTACGTTGTGTTGCTTGAATGTGAGAAAGAAAAAGATTCCATATTGGAGAAAAAAGGGTAACTGAAAAACCACTCAGTTATGAGCACCTAATTCTCCAAGCCCTACTCCTCCTATTCACACCTCTCAAACCATCTCCTATTTCCGGCTGGGATTGGGCTCCTACATGGCTTCAGTCATTATGGCATTCTAAGTGCCTCCCAAATGTTGATGGATTTAACATCATCCCGTCTATGTGTGGTAAGGTACCGTGATCACCACTAAGTGTCTGATTGATTATAGTGCATGGAAATCCCAGCAGCATTAGAACAATCCTTCCAACAGGGTAGGAAGATACGTACATACTGATGACGTGACTTGCACCAGCACCCCAAGAGAAGCCATGGCTGAGCCAAGAATTGAATCTGAAGCTGCTGAATTGGGCCGTGGTGTCTTAAATCAAGCCCATCCTTCCTTCAGATACAGGACTCGGTCCTTCCCCAGACACAACTCAACAAGGACGTGGTCCTGAGTAAGAAGGAAAATCTGATTTTCATCACTCATGCTGGGAAGTTGGAGTTACTCTGGGGATCTGTGGACAAAACGAAATTCATGTTGTTTTTGCTTGAAATTGGGATGTGGTGTGTATGAACGCTGACAAATGATCTAACCACAGACCACAGCCAGCTGGTTGAAGGTCCGTTCCTTCTCCTCCTTCAGGGGTTCTGAGTTAGCAGTGCAAAGTTCCACTTTCTTGCCAGCACATCCCATGACCTGAGTTGCATGCTGAAATAGGTTCAGTGTCAGTTCCATGTTAAATATTTCAGGGGGGAAAATGTATATTTATAGATAGCTAAACACTCCAGTGCTTTACGCACAAATCCTGCCCTTGATCAGAAAGGGAAATGCATTTCTATGTGCTAGTCAGGTCAATAAACTTTGACTCTCTGTGATAGCAAACTACCCTTTTGCTTCCAAACGTACACCATCACGTGCTACTGTTTTTCCCACCAAAGTGATTATTAATTTGCTGCTGCACCTTCCCACCGATGCTGTTTTATAACAGTGGGCAGAGATACTTTTCTGGACATCTCTCTCCCTTTCTCTGCCCGATTCCTTTGTTCATCAAAACTCCACTGCAGAATATTTTCTCTAAATTCCGAGTGCTCCATGAGGAGGGTGTGTCCAAGCCAGCAGAGCTTTGCTTTCATAAGCCGGGCTTCCGTGATGGTTCTGCATCCTTGTTATACATGATTTTATCTTGTCAATTTTCAAAATTACCTTATAGAATTTGCATAATTGCTATCAAGCGTCGTCAATTACACTTTTGCATTTCTTTGATGTGCAGACAGAGAATAAGTTGGAAATCAGTACTCTATGGTAAAAGTGACTTTAATTGTTGTGTGTGGGTGTGGGATACCATGCAAACTGCTCCTTTGGTGTTGCAACCTTTCCGATTCAGACCATGCTTTTTATCTGACTAATGATTTGTTGGTCAGTAAGGATCATGTCTGACAAAATTCCAGGAAGGTAAATTAAATCCTTACCATGCGGAATTGGGCAACATCGGTTACTGTCGTAGGTCTTAAATATGCCTTTGAAGGTGCAGGGTTTGTACATTTCTTCAGTTTCATTCGCACCGATAGTTCAGAGCTTTGAGCTGTCTCGGCACACTTGCTAGCGATGAAGTGGAGGTCTGGCAGAGCGTGTGCAGCAAGAGCAGAATCATCTACTCTAAGCTCATCCTTAAACTCCTCGGTTCCTTTTTGGAGAGTTTCACTTGCTTGCAGAATGCTGATATTTTACGATGCAATTAAAATTCCTGGCATTTACTTCGCTGGGAGCATGATCGATCATCCTGGCAAAGAAGAGTCCAAAGAGACTTACATTAGGGAATACCAGGAAGAATGAAGTGGGATGAAAGGCCCAGCTGGTTCACTCTCCTTTTCTATTTTCCTGCTGGGTTCTGGGTGCAGTGATGGATTGGGGTAGGAGACAATGTCAGAGTCAGCAGCCGAACATGGCAATGTACTGGCAGAGCACTGTGTGAATGAGGAAAGTGAGCAACAGAGCCAACACTTTAATGTGTGATTAAGGTGGTCGGTCCTAGATAGGTAGGTAGATAGACAGGGTGTTTGGAGATAGATAGATAGATAGATAGATAGATAGATAGATAGATAGATAGATAGATAGATAGATAGATAGATAGAATTTGATGTTTTTTTCTGAAATTATTATTTTATTTGTATTTAATTTTTTTTACAAATATGGCACAATCCATATATGATGTGTCATTAATGTGACTGCCTCCCAATATACAGCATTTAGAGCCATTGCCCCTAGCTAAGTATAAGACTAGGTGGAGACAATAGATGAGAAGAGGTGTGAAATAGTATTTATTATTATTTCTATTGCAGTAGCAGGCTGAAATCCCCCATGTAAAGGCCCTGTTGTACTAGCCACTGGAGAAACAAATAGCACAAGGACAGTCCTATACAGATGTAAATCATAAAGCAGACTTTTATGCAGAATTCAGAATATTTACATCATACCATAAAATATACTAGTATTCAGATAATCTAGAATCCATATCGTCTTGTGTAATTTTTGCCACAAACAGTACTGACTAGATGATGATTTCCAACATGTGACTAGTGGTTTCCTCTCAGTCTATATCTACACCAGTAGCTCCAGGGTGTGAAAAACCCTGCCCTTTGAGTGAGGTAAGTTACACTACTTTAAGTTGCAGTGTGGATAGATAGAGAAATAGAGAGATAGATACAGAGAGAGAGAGAGAGAGAGAGATGAGCTGCTCCCACTGACATAGCTAAAGTAGTTAAGTTGACAGGGGAGTTCTCTCCCCTTGTTAGAGCAAGTACATTAGTAGCCTACAGTGGCTCAGCTGCATTCGTCTGGCTCCACCAATGTAAATGATCTAATGTAGCCATTGCCTCAGTCTCCCCATTTGCACCTTGTTGCATCTGTTCCTTTGTCCTGCCAGAGATTTCTTTCTGATAACGCTGTCATCTGTATTCATTTCAATTGCCATGAGAGCGCAATTAATTTTAACTCCCGCTGTTGGCCTCGATGCTGACTGCTTCCCAAGATCCATGGTGCACTGAACCTTGAGACCAGTGCTCCCTGTAAGCTGTGTGTGTGTACGGCCACGCAAGAAAGAGTCTAATGCCGCCCAGCTGATTAGCAGAGTGCTTACAGCTAGATTTGTTTCTCCCAGTGGTGCACATTCACACCTGCTTTGGTGTGCATAAAATTTATTATGCACATGGATAGGAAAAAATCTGCACATAGATGGAAAAGACTAGAGGGAACAGTGCTTGAGACGCCTTCCTTGTGCGCTGCCCACACTCCTTCCTTGCTGTTCAGTCTCCTCCAACTTGCATCTTGGCGCCTTTGCTCACACCACCTTCTGCTCTTGGAGTAGCCTGCCGTTGCCAGTGCTCCAAATAGCTTCCCTTCCCCTTCAAATTCCTCTACAAAACTCACAACTTTCAGGGTGTGTCTAGAC